GCGGGCGACGAAATAAATTTGAAATAGAAAAGTTCGGCCCCTGGGGGGGGGGGGGGGGGGGCGGCGGAAAGAAGAGAAAGACAGAAGGAAGAGAAGCAAGGGGAAAGGGGAAGAGAAGGCAAAGCACGTTTGCAGCTGTCGCCAGTTAGCGCGAAGCGATAGCCGCCTCGATCCGAAGCATAAAAGAAGAGGAGAATAACAATGATAAAGAAGGGAAGAGCAGAAGAAATACGAGAAAGAGGAGTCCTGCTTAGCCGTCTCAGCCTCGAGCCTCGCGGCCTCGAGTTGCCTGTGGAAGGTCGCCGCAGAGTCGACCGCCTCGCAAGGCGAGGTTCTCAGCTTCTCGCGCGAGCTCGGGGCCGCGGGCGGCGAGGTTTGCGGGCCCCGGAGGCTCGACGAGCTCGTCTGCTTCGTCGGCGCGACCATCGGAGTCTCGCTGCAAAGCTGCAGTAGCTCGAAACAGAAAACCTCGAGCCAACGTGGCTACGGAAGGTTGTTACTGTTAGCTTGTCGTTGGTGCTCCTTGGTGTTCGCTTGTTGTTATTGCTTGTTTTGCTGCTGTGGTTTGTTGTTGCGTCAGTTGCTGGTGTTGCTGTTGTGATCGCTGCGGATTATGCTGTTTTTGGTGGTGCTTTTGTTGTGCCGTTTGCTGTTGCAGTTGTTTGTATGGCCGCTGCTGTTGTTTGCGCGTGTCGGTTTGATTGCGTGTGCTTGTGTTCTGTGTGTTGGTGGTCTTGCTCTGGCACCTGTCTCTCGGTCTTTTTTCTGGCGCCCTCGAGGCCCGGGGCCGCCTCGCTCAGAGCAGCCAGCGCGTCGCCCTCACTCTGCCCGAAAGCACTTCGCTCAGAGCTCCCAGCGGCTCGCGAGGCGCCGCAGGGCTGAGTCAGGACTCGGCGCCGAGGCCTGCGAGGCATCGCGCTGCCTCGCCGTTGCGGGTTTGCAGAGGCGCCTGCGCTTCTCCTCGGGGCCGAGCTTGACCTCCAGCTTCTTCTTGTTCTCGAGCTCGGGGGAGCCCTCCTTGTCTTCCAGCTCGACCTTCACGCCGTCCGGTTTGACCTCGAGCGCGGCCTTCTTTTCGTCAAGCTTCTTGTCCTCGAGGCTCCTGTCCTCGGGTGTGTTGGCGTCCTCCCCCAGCGCGGTGGGTTCCGCCCCCCTCGTCCACTCGTCGCCCTTCGCCCACTCGCCGACGCTCTCGTCGTCCGACCGCTCGGCGACAGGCCGACGATCGTCGCTGTCCGACTCGGCCACGGCGTGCTGCGTCTCGGCCATGGCGCGTGGTGTCCTCAGCTGGCTTGGAATGCTTGAGCCTAGATTGGTTACGGTTGTTTGTTGTTCATGTTGTTTGTCTTGTTGCTGTTCTCGTTAGTCCTGTTGCTTTGCTATTCGTGTGTGTTCTGTTGCTGTTTGCGAGCGTGCGGGTGTGCAGCCGTTGTTTGTTCTCCCTGCTGTTTGTCTCGGTGTTGCTCTGCCCTGCAATTGCTGCTGTTTTGCTGTTTGCTGTTGCTGCCGTGGCTGCTGTTGTTTGTGTGTTCTTGTGTGTGAGTGTGTGTTAGTGTGTGTGTGTGTGTGGGGGGGGGGGGGGAGTGCGTGTGCGTGTGACTGTGTGTGTGCAAGCGTGCGAGCGTGCCAGTGTGCGCGTGCGCGCGTGCGTTCATTCGCGCGTGCGCGCGCGTGCGCGCGCGTGCGCGCGCGTGTGCGCGTTTGCGCGTTTGTGCGCGCGCGTGGCCGCCAGGTGTCGGGGCACCCGAGATCCTGGAGTCTAAACTTGGCGATCTTCGGATCTACGATCAGAGGTGCTCGTAGATGCTCGAGGCCAAGATCTCGGATCCTCGATCCGAGGATGGAGGATCGAGCCTGCTCGGTGACAGAGTGGGCCCGAGGACGACCAGAGGAGCACTAGGCTCGGTCCTCGAGCCTCGGATGTCGAGCCCGAGATCTTCCAGTCCAAGCTCGGCGACCCTCGGAGCCAGGATCCGACGTGCTCGCAGACGCTTCAGACCAAGATCTCGGGCCCTCGATCCGAGGATGGAGGATCGAGCCTGCTCGGTGGCAGCGCGGGCTCGAGGACGGCGAGAGGGGTGATCTACCATCGCCGAGGCCCGGCCCTCGAGCCCCGGATGTCGAGCCCGAGATCTGCCAGTCCACGCTTGGCGACCCTCGGATCCAGGATCCGAGGTGCTCGCAAACGCTCAAGACCAAAATCTCGGATCCTCGATCCGAGGATGGAGGGTCGAGCCTGCTCGGCGGCAGCGTGGGCTCGAGGACGGCGGCGAGGGCGATCTATTATCGCCCACGCTCGGCCCTCGAGCCTCGGACGTCGAACCCGGGATCTTCGAGCCCAAGCTTGGCGACCCTCGGATCTAGGACCCAAGGTGCTCGAAGATGCTCGGACTCAAGATCTCGGACCCTCGATCTGAGGATGGGGGATCGAGCATGTGTGATGGCAGTGCGACAATCGGGGGCCGCCGAGGCTCGATTCTCGATCCCCGGAACGCGAACCCGAGATCTTCGAGTCCAAACTTGGCGACCCTCGGATCTAGGACCCAAGGTGCTCGAGGATGCTTGGACTCAAGATCTCGGATCATCGATCCGAGGATAGAGGATCGAGCCCACTTGATTTCTCGATGCTCGATCGAGGATCACTCGGCGAGAGGGGGAGGAGTAGTAGACCGCAGCTCGGACCGCCACTCGCGCGTGCTCGAGCGCTCTCTTGGAGCTTGAAAAGCAGATGGGGCTCGAGCGCGCGCCTCGAAACGGCGCCCTCGTAGCGAAAAAAACATGGGGTGCCTGGCTCGGGGAGCTCGCGCGCTCAGGCGCCCACGAGCATGAACGAGGCGGGCTCTGACTCGGCCTTTGCGTCGGCCTGGCTCCTCTCGTCATCGCGCTTGTTCGTGTTGGGCTTGTCGTGCTCGGCCTGGATCGACGCGAGCTTGTCGAAGTGCAGCTTGATGTGGTTCTCGAGAAGCATCTGCTCGTGCTGCTGCTGCTTGACGGTTTTCGAGTAGTCCAGCTTTGCGCGCTTGTCTCGGTCGCTCTGCTCACGCAGCTCGTAGCTCATGTCGGCGGTCCTCTTGATGGACCAGCGCCACTTGATAATTGCTTGCGTGGTGGCCTTGGCGACCCCGTCGGTCGCGATCGAGATCGTGGAGCTCTCGTTGCACCACCTGGCGCACTCTCGGGCCTTGCCCGGAATCATGTTGAAGAGCATCTCGGCACTCTCGGCGGGCCGTTCGCCCAAGTGCTCGACGGGCTCGAACTTCGCGTTGAGCGGCAGCACTAGCTCGTGGAGGTGGTGGAGCTCGGCGGGGATGCTTGGGAGGGCATGCCCGGTGCGCTCGGTGCAGGAGCCGTGGGCGAGCTTCTTAACGTTCCCGGCGCCGAGCTCTTGGCCCTGAAGCTCGGCATGGGCCAGAAGAGGTCCTCGGGCGGCTCTCCGCGGTTTTCGAAAATGTTGCACACGTGCTCGCGCCTCTCGACGTAGGTCTTGAAGAACACCGCCACGGCCAGCTTGATGCGCCTCTTGTCCTTGTCGTCGAAGATGCGGCCGTACCCGATGCTCTTGTAGGACCCGCCACGGCGCGCCATCTCGAGCACGGCTTGCTGGGCGCCGCTTGACCACAAGGCGCTCTCGGCCTTGAACTAGCAGCTCGTCATCCTCGCTGCATCCGTGCAATGCTCACTCGACTGGCACTGGCGCGTCTCGGCGATGGAGGCCTTCTTGGCGATGTAGGACAGCTTCTCGAGGATCTTCTCGTCCTGCTTGGCCATGCGCTCGGGAATCTCGTTCGAGCTCGGGCTCGGGGCCGCCGCGTTCTTCAGCGCCTCAACGGGGACGCTCGCCGCCGCTGCGCGCTCGGCGGGCTGGGCCATCGCTGGGGCTCGCGACGCCGTCAGGGGCAACGATGTGGAGGGATACGCATTCGGGGGGGGACATCGACTTGGAATCGGCGATACATCGCCGATGCATCGGGCGCATCGGCGATACATCGCCGATGCATAGGCATGCCTATGCCCCCCTATCGCTGCCCCTGGGGCGAAGAGGCTCTGCGCCTCGAAGAGGTTCGAGAGCTTGGTGTCTCGGAGATTCGGGGAAGCTTGGGCCTGGGGAGCTGCAGGGGCTGAGGAGGAGGAGGAACAGGAGGAGGAGGAGGAGGAGGAGGAGGAGGAGGAGGAAGGGCCACGAACAGTGTGAGGGGTGCGCTAAAGAAGTAATTCATTGAACTAACTAACTAACTCCAGTGCTCTTCCTGCTCGAAAAACGCATGCACAATCCAAATCCAATCGGTCCCTATGGCCCTGCCACACGTTCCTGTCTCGGGAACGGCTAAGAAAATGAGAATCCCATGGCCCTGCAGCACGGTCGTAACGCGGGCAAATTGAAGTGGTGAGAGTTCCACAGCCCTGCCACACGCTCGTGATCGCAAGCTGGTGTGGTGAGACCACCATGGCAATGCTCAGCGTTTTTGAGGTTGTTGCTCATCAACCTGATATGATAGCAACTTCGATCCCCGCCATTTTCCAGTGGATTATAACGTTCGGCCTCCGCGCTTTCCCCACACATAAATCCCTGTGGCCGGAGGTTAAAAGCATTCGGGGTGTTCAGGGGGGGGGGGGGGGGGCGACTTTTATTATCGCCCGCACTCGGTTAGTCGATGCGAATCAAGATCGCCGTGTCAGCGTCGAGATCGCCTTCGGCGCCATAACATGCCCCCTTGTCCCGGTGCGCGTCCCTGCCGAGAGCTTTCGATGCGGACCCACCCGCGGCCACGAGGGCGACCCGGGAGGCCGAAACAGGACCCTGAAAACATGCAGGCACTTCAGACCTCGATCAGTTTGGAGGACGAGGAGGAGGACGCGGAGGAGGAGGAGGAGGAGGAGGAGGAGGAGGAGGAGGAGGAGGAGGAGGAGGAGAACAACAAGCACGAGGAGGAGGAGGAAAAAGATGAGGAGGAGCAGGAGAAGGAACAAAAACAGAAGGCGGCGGCGAGGAGGGCCGCCAGAGAGCGCCCAGGCCACCAACAGGGTCTTCGTCGCCAAGCTGGCCAGGGACTCCCAGGCCGCGGAGGCGGCCGCCAGGACACGGCCGCGGCGCCCGGGGGCCCCGCCGGCGGACCCGGACGGCACCTGGTGCCTGGAGGAGGAGGGGGAGGAGGAGGGGGAGGAGGGGGAGGAGGAGGAGGAGGAGGAGGAGGAGGAGGAGGAGCAGGATGAGGAGCAGGAGGAGGAGAAGGAAGCGGAGGAGGAGGAGGAGGAGGGTTCGGATGCAACTCCTGTGAGGTCAAATTCGTATTTTGCCCTGGTCCGAAATCCGGCTCAATCCGGCGCAATCCCGCTCAATCCCGCTTGATATGCGGCCTTTCTGGCCTAAGAGCCCCCCAAAGGGGTTCAATCCTCTTCAACCCTTCCGACGAAGACCTCCCAATAGTTGCCTCCTAAAGAGGAAGGCGATGGCCAGGGAAGGGGTGCATATCATGGCCCCCTCGCCCTGGCTCACTTAGCACGTCACACTTGGCACCCCCCATGGGCCGCGCACGTTCGTCGGGCCATGGTTTGGGAGCCCCCCTCTTTGGACGCCCCCGAGGAAGGGTGAAGGGTTTTCCTTGAACCGGCTTTGTTTTTTGGGCCCGTCGGGGCAGGGAGATTGTCTAATCACGTTTGAACCCAACTATACCAGAGAGTCTAGAAGAGTTTCTTTTGCGAGTTCCCTGTCCGTCCCCCCTCTCCGAACACTTGATCTGCGAAAAACAAGTGGACGCATTCCCTATGTCATCCGCCTTGGACCAGGATGTGCTTTCTTACCATCACGCGTCGAACAAGGTTCAATTAGAGTTTTTTTTGTGGGGGCAATGTGTCAGTGGCGGGACCAGCTAATGCCACACTGGGGCCTATTGGACCTAACGGCTGATATGTATACCTTGTGGATTGGAGGCCGAGGGAGCGGAACACGGATGCAGGCTTCCTTGTCAAATATCAAGTAAAACAAAGTCACCAGCCGGCAATGCAACGGACTAAGTTGCCCAGGAAGAGTTGGGAGTAGTTGTGGCGAAGCAGTGATTGTTCGTCAGATGTCTTTCACCAGGTGTCGGATGGGGGTCATGGCATACAGGTCGTAGGACATCCCGGACCACGCGGTCTATCCAGGCGTACAGCAGCAGCACCATTGGAAATGGTTGGCATCACAGCGGCCACGATTTGTCTATTGAAAGTTTGTGCGCCTGCGTAACGTGTTGATGTATAGCAACCCGAACGGGAGCGCTTGCTTTGGAACAGAAAAAGTAATCCTCGATTCAGGCATGTGGGGACAGTCAGACATCTATACATCGAGGATGACCTGGGGAGGGATCCAGGTAGGTCCTTCAGAGTGGATTTTGGAGTCGAGCTCTCCCTCCTCCTTCCCACAGGTCGGGCCGAGCGTTTCGCCTGCGATGTCATTTGTGATCATGAAGCTTGACATTTCCAACGGCTACGTGGTCGGCTTTCAAGGGTGGTTGTCGCCTGAGCGCCGCGCATATCCACCACCATAGCTTTCAGGGGCTAATCATGTGAGGGGAAACGCATCCACAATGTTGTTCTCGCTTGAGCACCGCGCGCAGTCGGTTTGAAGGATGTCAGCAGTGACAAGGACGGACGGCGAATCGTGTTCAATGTGTGGCTATCGCTTGAGCGTCGTAAAACAATCCGACACATAGAAAGATAGAAGACGGGTGGTGTTCAACATATTTCTCTCGTAGTAGCGTGGCGCGCATGCGTCGAACAATGTTTCAACGTCTACATGGATGGAGGTCGTGTGAAATTCAAAATATGGATCTCGCCTCTGCACCGTGCACATTCGTCATAGAAGTTGCCCACAGCTGTAAGGATGCAGGATGTTGTTTCCCCCCAAACGGCGCTCTCGCTTAGACTTGTGCCAAACATTATGACCGTGCGTGTAAATATCCAGCTGCCTGCGGCAAATCCCGCCACCGGGCCAGCCCAACTTGTTGGGTGTCGACCTTTCGACAGGGCACGGGTGCCTGTCATGTGTGACATGTCGGTCCATTTGAAAAGATGTGTGGAGCCTCTTTCGGGGTTCCTTGGGCTGTCTTTCAACGTGTTGTGACCCGTGAGCTTTTGTGACCAGTGGCGTTTATTTGGCGTCAGTGGTTTGTCCTGAGCTCTTGAGAGGCCATGTTGGGATTCCTTTGGGACCCTCTTCGGCCGTCTTGAGGCTCTCTTGGGTTTTCTTGGGCTCTCTTGGGGCCTTCGTGACCGCCTTGGGAGTCTCTTTGGGCTATCAAGGGGCCGTCTTGGGCCGTTCAGAGGTCCTCTTAGGCCGTCTTATGTCCCTCTTGAAGGCCTTTAGGGCAATTTTCAAGCTTTCTTGAGACCGCCCTTTTCTGTCCAGGAGCTGTCTTGAGCTGTCTGAAGGCCGTCTTGGAGACCTCTTGGGCTATATTGAGGCTCCCTTGGGCCGTCGTCGGGCCATCTTGGATGTCTCTTGGGCCGTCTGGAGCCGACGGAAGCTCGAAAAGGCGAGGATGTGAAAATATTCAAAACCATACGGGAAATCGACGAGTTTGGCCTCTTCGGGCCTTGCTGGAGGCTCTCTTGGAGCACTCTTGGCCCGTCTTGGAGGCCGCTGGTGCCGTCCCGAGGCCATCTTGGGTCATCTGGGAGCCATCTTCGGCCGTCTTGAAGGAGGCATCTTGGGCCTCTTGGCGGCTGTGGATGTCCGTCTTGGAAGCCATTTTGGGCATCTTGAACGCCTTGGAGAGCGCCAGGAACGTGTCTGGGCGCCGACAGAGCCTCTGGAAGAGGGGGCGATGCACGCATTCTACGCGACCCGGGAGGGGGGGAGGCCTTTAGAAGATACAGAAACCTTGCCAGACAGCACTTGGCATTCTAGCACGCCTCAACGTGCCAGGGGGCACGGTGGCGGGTGTGCGACAGTTACACTGACGGGGGACGGGTCCTTTCCAAAGCAGAGTTTTGCTTGACAGGTTTGTTGATTTTCTGGTTATATTTACTCGCGTGCTTTCTTTTTGTTGCCGTCTGTCTTGCCCTCCTCTCCTCCCCCGCCTCCTTCGTCGTGTGTTGCGTTGTCTGCTTCTGCCGCTGCGTTTGACCGTTTGCGATTCCCTTGGCTCTCGTCATGTTTCATCTGCTTCGCCCCTGCCTGTGCTTTGCGTTGAGTGTTGTCCGCTCCTTCGCTCCCCTCATGCTCTACTCTGGCCCCTCCCTCCTTCTCACGTCCTCCCCTCCCGTCCTCCCCGCTCCCCCTCTCCGTAGCCATATTGGCTCAAGGCCCTCGCGCGGGAGTCGGAGTCGGCGGCGTCGGCGTCGGCGTTCGCACAGCGGGAGACCGACGGCCCATGGCCGCGTCCGCCGGGGGTACGCAGGCGCCGCCCGGCGGGGAGGCCGAGCAGTGGTTGGCGTGCCGGCAGTGTGCATTGCCGCTGGCGACCGCCGCGGAGCTCATCGAGGAGAAGTTCGCGTCCTGGCAGAAGGTCACGTGGGCCTACGAGCTGGGCGTGCTCGGCCGGGAGAGTACATGGTGCTACTCCGCGACCAACGCCCACGACCACCGGTTCGACGTCGTCCGGGTGCTCCCCAGCGCTCTTGGGCCGAGCATACGCTGCAGCGGCGAGCCCACGCAGGAGCATTCCTGGTTCCCGGGCTTCTCCTGGTCGATGGCGCACTGCCGGCTCTGCGACGCGCACCTGGGCTGGAGCTTCAGCCCCGACGGGGCGGCGCCAGCTCAAGGCCAGGGGCCGCTGGGCCGCACGGCCCCGGCAGCCCCAGCGGCACCCCAGGCGCCGCTCGGGCCGCAGGGGCTGGAGGAGCCGAGGGCGGAGGGGGGGGAGGCGCCGGGCCCCGCGGCGCGCCCGCGCCCTCGGCCGGCCGCCCGCTTCCTCGGCCTGGTGCTCACGAAGCTGCGGGAGGAGGCGCTCCCGCGCGAGGAGGCGGAGCGGCGGCTGGCCGCGGCGGAGCGGCGGTGGCTCGCGGGCGCGCCCTCCGCGGCGGCGCTTCTGCTGCAGGAGCTGCTCGGCGGCGGCGCGGCGCGGGCCCACGGCAGCAGGCTGCGCGCCGTGCTCCGCTCCGCGGCCGCCTCCGGCCGCCTGCCGGCAGCTGGGCTCCCTGGCCGGCCAGGGCGCGCCGCCGGCGGCGCTCTCGCCGCCGAGGGCCCCGGAGGGGACGCGGCGCCAGCGCCCGAGGCCACGGAGGCCGAGGCATCCGGAGCGGCGGCGTGACCCCAGCCGCGGAGCCTTGGAAACACAGATGCATCAAAGTGTACATAGGTAGAAGAATAGCAAGAGGCACTACACAACAAGAGGCAGTGCCTGTATGTGTGTGTGTGTGTGTGTGTGTTGCGTCTCTTTGTCCATCGCTTCTGCTCTCACCAGTTGTTTCCATCAGGAAGCCTGCCAGAGCAAGAGCTCCAGAGCTTCCGAAGGGCTGGCCCCAGAGCCGAGCCCTCCAGGGGGGTATAGAGCACGTGCCCGCCCACCTCCTAGGGCGAGTTACTGGGATGACCCGGCGAGCCCAAGGGAAGCATCCCCGCCTCGTCACAGGAGCACAAACTCCCTGGCAGGGTTTCCACAGTCACTGGCAGCGCAAAAGTTGCTTCTTGTCCTCACGGCTCCTTGTGTACGCATTGCGTTATATCTCTATGTATATACATAGATTTATAAGACTGCATTGGCGCTTCGCGCCATGCACCTTGGTCATTGAGGTTTGTCATGCAGGCGGGAGGGTGACAAGGCAAAACGGATAATGTAGCGATATTTCTCTGCTGTTTGCTGTTCGACATCGTCGTTGTAATCATGTGTTTAATCATCCTTTCCTCATGCTTCCTCTTCCTTTTGCTCACGCTCGCCCTAACCTGCGTATTCGTCCCAATCCTCCTTAGCTCTTTTTGCGGATGCTCCTCCTTGGAGAGCTTCTTGTGGGCCTCACCAAAGTAGTTAAGGGCTTCTTGGGTCCCCTTCTGGAGGCCTCCTGGGTTCCTTCTGGGGGCCTCGGGTACTTCGGTCCACCCTGCTTCCAACCGCGGACTCCCTGAACGGGTCGCGATTTGGAATGATTCGGGGGGCGTCGTAGGGCCATCTGGGGCCGTCATGGGGTTTTCTTCGGGCCATCTTCGGGCCCTGATGGGCCGTTTGGGTGCTTTCTTGGACTGCCTGGAAGCCCTTTGGGGGGGGGCGAGTTCCTGGCCTCCTGGGCGATCTCGGACGCCCGGAAAACCCGAAGAACTGATCCACTGATCCTAGCGAAGAACCCAACGATATGCAGGTGTGAGCACGGCGAGGCAAGTGAGACGAAGAAAGGGAGGCCCCTATGGTGCCACGAACCGTGTGATGGGTGTGCCGAAATGGACAAGCAGTTTGCGTGGGTGGCACGTGCGAATCCTGCCACTGGGGCATTCGGTGGAGCTTCCCATGGGGCCACGAAACGTGTGAGGGGTGTGCCGTGAGCGGGGCCGCATGCGAACCTTGCCACAGGGGCCTTCAGTGGAGCTCCCCATGGGGCCACGAAACTTGTAGGAGGTGTGCCAGAATGGACGTGGGGTGGGGGCTGCGCGCGAACCCTGCCACTGGGGCCCTCGGGCGAGCTCCCTACGGGGCCACGATCTGTGTGAGGGTGTGCCAAAATGGACATGCGGTGGGCGGGGAGCAGCAAGCGAACCTTGCCACTGGGTCCCTCGGTGGGGCTCCCTACAGGGCTCCGAAACGTGTGAGAGGTGCGCCGGAGTGGACATGCGGTGTGCAGGGGGCAGCATGCGAACCTTGCAACCAGGTCCTTCGGTGAGGCTCCCTGCGGCGCCACGAGCCGTGCGAGGGGCGTGCCGAAATCGACATGCTGTGGGCGGAGAGCTGCATGCGAACCCTGCCATGGAGGCCTTTGGTGGAGCTCCCCTTGGGGCCCCGAACCGTGTGAGGGGTGTGCCGAAATGGGCATGTGGTGGGCGGGGGGCCGCATCCTTATGGGGCCACGAAACGCGTGAGCGGTGTGCCGAAATTTACATGCGGCGGGCGGGGGGGCCCGAAATGGACGCGCGGCGGTCGGAGAGCTGCATGTGGACTTTGCCTCTGGGGCGTTCGGTGAAGCTCCCTACGGGGCCACTAATTCAATCAAGTTGGCGGAGGCCCAGCCACGACGGCAAGGGCTCCTGCTCGATGCTTCCTCACGATTTACTCCGAGAGCCCCTGGCCAAGAAGGCCCCCGAACTTAGGAACGGCGCTCTCGCTCGAGAAAGTTTCGTAATTCAGGCAAGTTTGGAGGCCCAGACACGGCGACAAGGGTTCCCGTTCGATATATCTCCATTGGTATTCCGAGAGCACTTGGCCAGAGAGGCCCCCGATCTCAGGAACGGCGCTCTTGTTCGAGATATCTTCGCACTCCAATCAGTGGCCGACAAGGAAGAGATTTCCCCCGAAGGGGGGGGGCAATCGAAGACGAAGTGGGCGGGTATCGAGGGTTGGGATTTACTGAGTGCAAGACACGCGTGCCAGTAAGAGCGAACAGTCCTAAAATGATTATTGTTGCTGCTGGCGTTGTTGTAAACTGGGGGCCAGGGGCACAGTTTGACGTGGCATATTTTCCTTGTTGTTGTTTTTTAAACAGGGTTCCAGCTTCCAGAGGGGCACTTCAATTGAAACAAACACATATGTTACTGGAGGGGGGATCAACAACAATTATCTTGCAGCAGTGAGAGTCAACATCAACAACCAAAACTTGTAAGTTTGGTCGTTCTTATCTGCTCGCATGCCACTCAGCACGTATATTCCAAACTCTCGATACGTGCCCTCTCCGTGTTGACCGTACCCCGTGACGGGCATGTTTGTCTTTCTTGCAACGTGTATTTCGTACAGCCCCTAAGGCAGGGGAAGAGAGGGCGGATGGAAGGAGGGGCCAAGGGCAGGCAGGTTGCTGAAGCGTGCGTCCTGCATGAATCGCGATGAAGTCTCGAGCGAGAGCGCGATTCCTCAGTAGTTCGTGCGAATGGCCAGAGTGACAGCGTGATTCCTAAGGATTGGAGGCGCGACGCCCGAATACATTGCGAGGAAGTCACACGCGAGAGCGCATATTTGAAATCCACTGTGAGGCAGTATCTGGCGGGAGCCGCTGCTGCTGTAATTCTTGGGTCAGGGGGCGCAGTTTGGTGACAGTCCGTCTTCCTTTGTAAAAGAATACAGCGCGAGCGTCAGGAGAAGCATGTTAATTTGCAACATGCAATGGTTACCTGGCAGAGGGGATCAACAACAACAATCATTTTAGGACTGCTCCAAAACAACAACAGCAACAGCAACAATCATTTTAAGACTGTTCGCTCTCACCTGCGATTCAACACGCATATCCCGAACCCTCGGTACCCACCCTGTTCGTCTTCGATCGTACCCCCTTGGAGGTGTATTTTCCCTACCTGCCGCGCGTAGTTGGCGCAGCCCCTAAAACAGGGGAGGAGAGGATGGATGGAGGGGGAGGGAGAAGGATGGCACACGAGAGAGATCTGCAGGAGGGGAGCTAGGACCAGAAAACACGTGGCAGAACCGGACGGGCAGATCGGGCGGGCAGACCCTAGCGGGCGGGTCGGGAAGGCGGGCCCATGTGGCCAGGTCGAGCAGGCGGGTTGCCGAGGCGTGGGCATGAATCGCGAAGAAGTCTCGAGCGATAGCGCGATTCCCTAGTAGTTAGTGAGAAAGGCCAGAGTGACAGCGTGATTCCTAAAGGTTGGAGGCACGACGCCAGAGTGAATTGTGAGGAAGTCCCACGCGAGAGCGCGATTCCTGCAGAAAGTCTGATGAAGTCCCACGGGTGAGCGCAGTTTGGTGGCACTTCGTGTTCCCTTATACAAAACAGGGCCAGGGAGAGAGGGAGGATCAACAATAATAATGTTGTAGAAATGAGAACTCCACAGCAACAGTAATTTGAAGACTGTTCGCTCTCACCTGCTCACGTGCGTCCAGCATGTATATCCCAAACCTGCGATACCCGCCCTCGGCGTCTTTGTTCGTTCTCCCTTGGGGGTAGATCTTCTGACCTGCAACGCGTATGTCGTGCAGTCCCTAAGGCAGGGGAAGAGAGGGTGGATGGAAAGGACGAAAGGGGAGGGAGGAGGATGGAACACAAGAAATAGCAGGAGGGGGGCTAGGACCAGAAAGCACATGGCAGAATCAGACGGGCATATCGGGCGGGTGGGCCCTCGCGGGCGGGTCGGGAAGGCGGGCCCATGTGGCCAGGTCGAGCAGTCGGGTTGCTGAAGCGTGGGTACTGCATGAATCGCGAAGAAGATCCAAGCAATAGCGCAATTCCCAAATAGATCGTGGGAATATCCACAGGGAGAACATGTTTCCTCAGTGTCGGGGGCGACGCGTCAGAGTAAACAGCGAGGGTGGCCCACGCGAGAGCGCGATTCTTGTAAAAAAAATGCAAGAAGGTCTTGCGCGAGAGCGCGACTTGGGAATCAATTGTGCGGAAGTAGCAGGCTGGAGCCGTTGATGTTCTTATTGTAATTCGGGTGCCAAGGGCTCAGTTTGGTAACATTTTATTTGTTGCACAAATAGGGTGCGAGCCCTGGGATAAGCACTTGAATTGGAAGAACAGAAAGGTTACTGAGCAGGGGAGGGATGAACAATAGTTGTTTCCCGAATGAGAATTCAGCAGCATCACCCAATTACTAATTATCACTTGAACAACAGCAGTTCCTGCTGATCCATTCAAAATCCAGAATAAAGATTGATCGATGTTATTCGTTCGCGTGCCATTCCCTCAACACGTCTATGCCAAACCTTCGATACCCACCTCTTCGTTTTGAGCAGTACCCCATTTAGAGGTCTATCCTTCTTACCTGCAGAGTGTATATCGTACAGCCTCTAAGGCAGGGGACGAGAGGAAGGATGGAAGGAAGGGACCAGGGAGAGGGAGGAGGATGGAGCATGAGAGAGAGGGAGCAGTAGGAGGGCTAGGAGCAGAAAGCACGTTGCAGAACCATCGGGCGTGTAGACCCCAACCGGCGGGTCCAGGACTCGGGCCCCGGCGGCCAGGTCGAGCAGGCGGGTTGCTGAAGCGTTTGCTCTTGCATGAACTGGTAGGAGGTCTGCAGCGATAGCGCGATTCCCACATAAATCGCAAGGAAATCCGCAGCGACTGCGTGATTCCTAAATGTCGAGGGCGCGGTTTTTGAATAAATTGCGAGAAAGTCCAACGCGAGATCGCGATTCCCTCATAACTTGAAGGAGCGTCCCCCGCG